TCGATTTAAAGCTTTCGTGACTGCAAGGATTCATCTTCTTTGGTTCTTTCGGTAAAGTCACGTAGAATGAGAATAAAATAATAAATTGATAAAATAAAATAACACAATAATATTCTCACGACGTTTTGGCCACAACACAAGCGGCCTTCATCAGGTGAAGGGACGAGACTGTTCAGCGCTGTCCTCCAGACAGTCTCGTCCCTTCACCTGATGAAGGCTGCTTGTGTTGTGGCCAAAACGTCGTGAGAATATTGTGTTATTTTATTTTATCAATTTATTATTTTATTCTCATTCTACATGACTTTACCGAAAGAACCAAAGAAAATGCCATAACAGGCGACATTTTCGTCCAATGGCCCTTAACAGCATAATGACCCCTTCTGCAATGAAGGGTCATTGCCTGAACCGTCACCTGGTACAGTACAATATAATAATTTCCCCCTCTTTTTGATGGTCTTGAGCTTTTTTTGTTATGTGTGGCACTGCTGCCAAATCAGTATCACAACATGTTGTTATAAAAATAATCACAAAGTTATACCCATCGTTTTTAATATCACAAATACAAGTGTACACCGGAGCATGTAAACACTTGAGAAGCCCATGGGAAAATCTTTGCCCTGGAATACATCCGGAGGATCTAGTCGTCGAGTGAGAGCAATTCAAACATTGACACAATCGGCTCTCCAGCCAGCTGTGCCTACAGTATTAACATGTTAATGAAAGCTCGAACCAAACTGTCAGGACTGGAGCCCAATCACCACTGTGCTATTGACATTCAAATGAGACCGGGAAAGACCAATCAGTACTGTCTGATGGCGTATAAGCCAAGCCTCTAATTTCATCATTGTTTAGGAAGCAAATTGAATTTCTCAATGCCCAAAATCTAACCACAATACTCGGAGCCAAGTCAAGCGCGACTTTAAAAGACGATGCAAAAGTAACCTTGGATGCTATCCTATAACGGTGTAACGTCGGCAAGCCATCTGAGAACGTGTGGCCATGGTTTGTACGTTGACGACTTCATTAAATACAGCACTGTATACACGATACACATTACATCACCCAAGGCCAAACAGGCACCCCCCCCCCCACAAACTTCCCCCCAGCATATACTGTACGACAGCAAATATAATCTATTTGCTTAAACAGATACGTTCTGTACTTTCCACCGCGGGCTTTGTATAGCTGCGCATATTAGTCTAATAATAATAATTTACAAACCTTTGTTAATAAACTGATGGATGAAGACCTCTCCACGATGTGTCTGTCGGTCGTGGGGGTTACTTAACTATACTTCACCCCGCTGGACTGTGTGGGTTTGTGAAGACAGCAGGGCACCCAGGTACGTTTTCAAAATATCACTTTCAACTGATGCTTGCTCGTGGCCAGGAATCTAACCCTGTAAGCTTTGTTCATTGCGCAGTGTGCTAAGCACCGAGCTCACTGCTTGCATCCCCTTAGTCTAATTAGCAGGCACTATTCACATGAATGTATTATTTTTTAAACAAAGGCTCTGTAACCAAAGCACAACTATGCATTCCTAATTTCAGCATGATTTGGCCCAACAGACGCCCTCATTTGGCCTTCTTATTACAATGTGTACACACTTTATAAGCGAAACACCCATTTTTCATTAAGAGTATACACGTGTGCAGGATCTTAAGTGTTGTTTATATATACAAGCATATTTCACTGTCCAAATTTAATTACCTTACTGTATACCTTAACCATTATTGTCAAGGTAACTCTACGTTCCATCATCTGATAAAATGCAGTCCAAATCAGTCACATGACTAGCTTTAAGCCAAGTCCAGCTCTAATGCGATTAAACTTGATGGTGGTTGAGTGGCCCTTGACCGATCACCCAGAATGCACCCAATCGCTCACCACCACCGGCCTAGCGGTGGTGGTTGTGCGTGCCTTTAATCCAGCACTATGGGGGCGAGAGTTGGCGTATCACACAAATGGTTGCTGACACTCCTTTTCTGTCGACGTCAAGCTGCCTTATACCATGGCTTGTCAGGAGAATGGAGTACAGCAAATGTGGACTAATCTCCACCTGGTCTATCAATGTTGGATAAAGTATTGCCACTCGCACGCGTGAATTTTTTTTACAGGTGCTCCGGTTTCGCCCCAACATGTATAAACGCTTATCGATTGGCTCAACACATTTTAACATACAGTACATGCACCACCCTATGTTCGTCATCTGGCCACATGGCCTGCCAGCACTGAACCAATTTCTCAACCACATCAATTCCATACACCAGTCAATCAAATTCACCATGGAAGTGGAAAAGGATGGCAAGCTACCATTCCTGGATGTTTTGACCGAAAATAGACCTGATGGCTCGTTGGGACATTCGGTCTACGGGAAAGCCACCCACACGGATGCCTATCTAAAGCCTGATTCCCACCACCATCCAGCCCAGAAGAATTCCCTCATCAAAACATTACACCATAGGGCCCGTTGCATCTCCGACCAGCACCATCTAGCTAGTGAGTTGGAGCACGTACCCCAAGCCCTCAAGATGAATGGATACTCGGATCGTACAATCTGCAAAGCTGCCTCCCCAGCCATGGGGAGACAACCTTCTGAGGATCCAACCAAAACCATCACTTTGCCATACATAGCAGGTGTTACCAAAAAGATTTCCAAAATCTTAAACAAACACAGGATCAAGGTTCGTTTTAACACAGTACACAAAATCCGTGATTTAATCCCATCTGTAAAGGATGTCATTCCTGACATGCAATACCCTGGTGTCAACAAACTGAGTTGTGGTTGTGGCAGCAGTTACATTGGGGAAACGAAACGACATGTCTCGGACCGCGTTCGTGAACACAAGGCAGATCTGAAACACGGTAGGACCAATATCTTTGCCGTTGCCGATCATTGTTCTAATGCTGTGGGCTCACACGAAATAGATATTTCCAAGACGGAGGTACCCTGCAAACCTACCGGCTACCTTCAAAGATTTGTTCATGAAACCATCCAGATATATAAACACAGACACAACTTCAACCAAGAGGATGGGTACAAACTGAGCAATCATTGGAAGGACGTTATTAACCAGGTAAAGTCTTAACTGACTGTGATGTTTCCATCCTACCTGCCTATTTCAGCTGTTATTCCATGCTAATCTCTCACATTAACATAGCCACTTCCGTGCCCTCGTCAAGGAGGCCGCTCTCCTCCTTTTCTACAGTTACATGCTAATTTCTCGCATTAACATCACTAGCCCCGGCCACTTCTTTATGACCCTTGGGCTACACCCATTTTAAACCTTTTAAAACAGTCTGCCTTAGCAGCAGACCATGCTTTCCCACCTGATGACAGACGCTTGTGTTGCGCCCGAAACGTCGTGATTTATTTTATTTTATACCTATGTGACTTTACCGAAAGAACCAAAGAGTATGCACCACCATGTGCTGTGAATTGTGCAATATCGTGAGAAGCAGTTCGCATGAATGATGCTATATAATAGCCTGAATAGTGCCTGGATGGGTGACCACCTTGCACAAATAGGTTTGTCATGGACCACTGCTGTGCTGCATCAGGAGTGGGCAGTGCAACAGTATCCATTGCTGTAGAGTACTTATATGCTCCCACATCTATTCTCCCCACCTTAACCAACCTTCACTGCCCAACGTGGTGAAGAATGGCAAAATAACCCACATGGCCCACACATACATGTACACGGTGACATAGTGGAGAAAGTAAGTCTACAAATCCCGCTGGGAGATAGAGGTGCTATGGTAAGCATTAACTGATTTGGTCTCTTATGCAGATTACCAAATGTGGACCAGACCAGAGTTCAAGCACTGTGGATGTCGAGACTCGGTGGATGAGACATTATCAAGGCGTGAAGTTAAAAACTGAAACATGAATTTGCCATTGTTGCAGACAGCTCGAACAAGTACATAAAGTGTAATGTTGTGATACTTAACTTTAAGCCTATCCACATGCATGTAAGCCTACCAATATATGTAAACATATGCGTTATCGGTGTCATTTCGCATGCAAAACTTGTGGCACATTAAAGCAGAACTTCTATGGTGACACACAGCGTTAGGCAGGACGTCGTCCAAGTGTATGAACGGACAATTCGCCCAATGTGGAATATGCTGTAACCACATCCTTCAATTCTGAGTGGCGCAAAGGATAGATTACGGGCCACATACTGTTTGAAGAAAAGACACTGCCAGCATAAGTGCCTGCTGTGTTTTTAAGTTTACAATGGCCACCGTTGCCGGATCTCCTTGTGTTTTTTTAGAAACGCCCAACCCTAAACGTAGTAACCTGGTATAAAAACACACAACCACAGCAGCACACTGAAATTTATCTGGGAGCATTAATGATGAGACGAGGACGATAATTATTAATGACCGTGAAAGAGAATAACAGCTTGTGGAGGAATACTGCCAACTATCAGCGCAAAGTCATAGTACACTCCAGTATTCTCTCCTGTACGAATTACATAAATATATACAACTGCTGCACAATTAGTTCCTAAATGACGAATATTTCAACACGAATTAATGCATCTAGGTGTCGGGTGGTGCTGCAGTGGTTAGCGCACTGTGTTATAAGCCCGATGACCCGAGTTTGATTATTGGCTATGGATAGTGAGAGAATCATAATTTAAAAAAAATACAGTGGAGAGAGATATCTAAACCAGTCCAGGGCACCCCCTTAACCAACCGACTCTAACCATCACGGTGAAGTATGGTTAAACAATCCCAATAATTACGCATGGCATGGAGAGGTCTTAATCTAGCAGTGTTATAACAAATGTTTCTAAATTATTATGACAGTATCAGAATTATTATTTAATTACACATCTCCATTAAAATAACACTGGATAATGGATGACTTTCATTAATGCGGTTCTAAAGTAAATGAAGGGTAAAACAAAAAAAAACAAAGAGTGGTGGGGGAGCAGATTGCACGCACATTCAAATGTAAATGTATACACGGGCAGACACAAAGCACTCACCATCGTAGCGCACCACAATGCGGGGCGTTGGGTCCTCACTTATGGCAGCTGGGCTGAGGCACAGCAGGGTCAACAGCAAGGCTGAGGGGGAGGCCATCCCCTGGGCACAACCACGTGCCTGTCTGAGGCCAGTGCTCCCCACCATCCCAGAGCACTCCTGCACAGCCCTGCGAGACACACGTGTACACACACGCGAGATGTTTTAGATAGTAGCTTGTTGCGGGACATCTTGTTATGTGGTCACGGTGAGATGGTAAGCACACTGCAATTGCAATCCAGAGGTCGCCAATTTGATTACATCTCCCTGTTATGGGCAGTTGAAACAATGAGCGAGTTTCTTAAATCAACTCCCACTACCAGCAGAATGTGAATGGGTACACCACTGTGCTGGGGCGGTAAAGTGTGGGTAGTGCTGTCTTCAAAGACGTCTGGCCAGTATGGAAGAGTAGGCCAAAAATACCAGGGAGCTCTCCAGAGCCTCCACTAAAGCACCCTTAGGTTTGAGGCCCTTCCGCCAGTAATGGCGTGAGCAAGCAATTACAGTGGCACCATACCTTCATGCAGGCAATATTGTTATTTCCCATGAGACATCAACAAAATAGTACAGTGAAACTGCAGTCACATACATCATTGACTGGTCATGACTGAAATGACAGTGTTTTACTTACATTGGCACCACATGCCAGCAATATTCGTGTGAGACTTGCCATCTCCCGGGAAGGGGTGACAGTGGTTATAGCAGCACGCTACGAACCTGGCACGGTTTCATTCCTGACCGTGGCTTACATCCGACATAAGGCCCGATGTTTATTCCCCCTCCTCAGCATTGTGAGCAGGCCTTCATCTAACAAGACTGACAAAGAGCTGTACATTGGCACCTCACCGATTTGCTTTGTTTTGTTGTGAGAAATGCAATTCAATAATACCGAACAACATATGCCCATCTCACTTTGTGTGTGGAGTATTTGTGCATGCAATGTGCGCAAACAGTATGCACACGTATAAACTCTCCCTTATACGGTATAGCTGACAAAAAAGGTTAATGTCTGCATAAGGATTGCAGTGTGGTGTACAGTGCTGGATTGTTTATTGTTGGCAGGGTGGTGCGTGATGTAACATCTCAATATTGCAAGGAATAACATTTAAAATTGCGTTCATGATCATCATGACCATTCTTTGGTGGTAGAAAACAATGAATACAACTTTGTTCGCCATTAACGTCAGTTGTCATATGGCAAGACATGCAATGGCTCTTGCCACAGGAATGTGCAGTTTCCACCAGTGCCTCAAGACTACCAACTAAGATTTACAGTGCCCAATTTTGCATTTTAAAGGACATAAACTCAATACAATACTATAGTTGAGTCTGCAAACCCACACATGCACACATTATCAGGTCATGATAAATGTCGACTGCTGGATGAAGCCCCCCCCCCCAGCCCTTGTCATCTCTTACGGACCAGCGACATAGCGATAATAATAATCCAACTAGCACCATTCCATTTCATTGCTCCATCTCCGCTACGGACGTACACTCTGGCGGGTTCCCTCCATTGGCTGCCATTCATTCCATCATTCGTCTCGACCACCGACCACCATCAATTCCTTTATAGCGACGTGTCTTGCACCAAAAGCCCCGTTACCCTCTCCGTGTAATTGCAAGCATGCGCTTCTCACCCCCATCCATGCTGCTGTGCACGTTCATCTCTACCCCCACACATACTCAGCATTGTTTACACATAAGTAGCCTACAAAACACTGCAAGGCGGTATTGCATTACTACAGTGCACTCAAAATACAGGCAAAGCATTGCAATTCAGCACACCGCAGTTCACCGTAACGCTGAACTGTGTAATAACATCACCACTGGATATATTTTTTAGGTGCTTTATCAATCCACTGGTTTGATGAGGGCCTCCCCGACGCCGTATCGTATGTTGTTTGACCATCACACGGGCTGGGAGAAGATAGTGGGGCAGGCTGGTTAGTACATCACTCGCCACTGACGTTAGCCGTGATCGGGAGTCGAACTCGTGCCAGGCTGGGTTCATATCGCAGTGCGTAAACCGGTGCGCCACCGCTCCCATCCTTACCACCACCTCTCAATAACACAATATCAAGAGCACACAATTCTAAACCGTGTAATAATATATTATATTAGCCAGCCAAACAAAGCCATGACAACTCTTCTCACCTGACATTAAAGCGGTCGATATTCAGGATGTTACCTAGCAAAAAGGTACCTTGAGCTGACTACAGCAGTGTATGGGCATGCCTAAGGAAGTAAACACAAGCTATTTAAATTCACACCTTCATGGCCAACGCCTTAAGCACACCAACTATATACGTGTGTTTGTTTAGTACAGCAAAAGCATTCGTTTTGAAAGAGTCCCCGTCCAGTAGTATTATAAACGCGTTATATCGTGCGCGTGTAAATACAATGCGTGTATCCATATGCATTTACAAAGACACGCGCGCGCGCACACACACACAAGATCGCATTATAAAATGTAACAATACAGCACCTACAGGCGCGGCTACATTTCTTCTGTCGTTAAACATTAAAATGAATCGCGTCAACAACAAGAACAACAACATCATCACCGAGGCGAGTGGGGGACCCTCTTTAATTAAAACCCAGCACGCAGTTGCGATCTCTCCACCCGCCCCCCACGCCGCCGCGTCTTCGTGAGATGCGCGTGGAAGTTTACGCGTTGTTATTAACATCTTTTCCCCCTAACATTGCTCAACGACATAAACTCGTGCCATTATTTTAACCCGATCCTGTATCCTCCTCCTCATCATCATCCTCATCATCCTCCTCATCATTATTATTATTACTACCATCATCTCTCGTCTCGCCGTGTGTGCAATAATGGCTATCGGCAAACAATACAAACGGTAGTGTTGTTGTGTGTGTGTGGGGGTTTTCAAGCGGTATCGCGTCAATGTGTTCACACGCGCAAAACAAAGCAGCAACGTACCGAAATGACGCCGCGACCCTCTGGTTTAGACCGAGGACGTCCGCTTCGTGACGATAAAAGAAACGGAGAAAGACGAACGCGCGTGTGTGTGTGTATACGTGTGCGCGCGTACAAAAGCAAACAACTTTTTTTTTGGGGGGGGGGGGGGGCAGGTGGTCGGACCGAAAACGACCAAAAAGTTGCCGAGCCACCGTGGTGATAGTTGTTCAACTGAGGAGGAAGTCATCGGAACCCACAGAGCTGCTGGCTTGAGGAAGGGGGCGGCCCTCAACACCCGCCAGAGGCCCCGCGTCATTGGCCGCTTCTGCCGCTGACGTCCACCACCACCACCACGCGCGCTGCCCGGTGCGGCACAGGAGGACAAAGTGGCGGGGAGGGCTTTTTTGCTCGCTCGCCTTCTCACGGATTCAACGTCAAGCTTTGGCCCCACACGACTCTCGCTCCACCTTCAGATTGCTCTCCTTCTCGTTCAGTTTCCCAGGGTCTTTCGTGTGCGTGTGTTTTTTAGAGTAATCGCAAAAGGTTTTGGTGGGATTTTGGTGGCTCCTGTTTTTCCCCCTTTTTTTTTACATCTCGTGGGAAATCTTGAGTAATGTTTCCGTTCTTATGATGAATGTCTATAAAGCGCAGTCACCAAAAAATTGTGCTTTTTCATACTTTATAAGGTTGAAAGTGCGGATACTTTAGATATCCACGTGTATATGTCGAGGTGGGGCACAACTCGTAACAATTACCCAATATGAACACACTACTAAGTTACTTGATGGCCTTATCCTGTACATTCGATTTGGTTGTATCCCTACATCATAGTAGGCAATAGGCGTTCTTAAACATATACTTCGAGGCTAAAAGCATGGTTGGAAATTTTTAAATTTGTACATATTATTTTTCGTCCTTGTTTGTATCGTCTTTGAGACATTTGTTTCTTCTGTTGCAGTCACGCTTGCTTGCTGCTATGACCAGTGTAGGTCACCATTGGAAAATACATGCTTAGCTAAATGGTCGTTACCCAAAAATAACTGCCTGACTATATAGTTGGTGCACATTTGCATCTGGATTAAGGTCAGACTAAACCTAACCCAAGAGCATGATCTGGAATTATAATGGGAATAATTGCACCACTCTCTGACCAAGCAGAAACCGTTGGCACTGGCAGTTTGATGATCAGACCTTGTCAGACAACATTCATATAGGTTAGATTTACTGTCCCTGACCTCTTTATGGCAATCAATGTTGATGGGGTGCTATTATAGGCCCTCCTGAGAATCCACAATTATGCCACAGTCTACCTGACTTCATACCAACATCCTGGTGCAAGTAACTACAGGAACGTAATTCGTTTAAGTAATACAAACCGCAGGGTATGTTTAAGCTAGATTTATTCGGATAAGCTTGCCATAGTTGTCTGAATGAGTAAAACAACTTCACAATAATAATGCGAACAATGCCGTGCAAATGTTAAAGGCAAAGCAAGGTATACTATTTTTCTAATGAAGAGCAGATATACACCAAGGCTGTAGCCATGGGGTCAACATTGGAGGGGACCAAATTTTCCAGGGGGTCTGGGGGTCCCAAACCAGAAAAATATCTAAATTTGAAAACCTATTTCCTGCCTAAAAATATTTAAAAATTCACTAACACATGGGATGGACTTTTTATTAGATTTTTTACAATAATGTCTAATAGTGTAATGTATTACATTGCTCTGTTTTTACTTTTTTACCATTTCTTGTTTCATTGTATGTAATGTTTGAGATTAGGGATTCATAAAGTACAATCATCATATAAACAGAAATCTTTGCATTGATTTATATGAAGACACTCCAGATATTGTGGCCAAGGTTTAGCAAATTGTTGTTTTTTATTTACATAGCATAGCAATTATTATTACTTTTTTATATTTTTATAGCAATATATTTGGGGGGGGGACATTTTGAGCATATTTGAATATTGGGGGGGGGGGGATGTGTCCCCCCCCCCCCAATATATTACGGCCTTGATATATACACACTCTTATCGAAAATGTGCATAAGTGTAGAATTTTTACGTACATAAATCTCTGATAAAATGAACTTGTCCTGCAGAAAGACTAAAGGCAAAGTGAAAATTTTAAACAAAAATATTTCAGTTTACCAAGGATGTCTGGTATGTACTGGCTGGTTTTAAACAAAAATAAACCTTAAACATGTGTTTTTTATGCCTGCCAAATATCACATACATTTAATAGTATCTTGTTTCATTCTACTCCTCATACTTTCCTCAGATTCCACCTTACATCAGCAGCCACTTGATTAATATACCTGGAGTTGCGTTTTTTGCCACATAAATTTGGAGGAACTACAGTATGCATAAAATATAGTAGATGAGTTATGCTTTTGGTAACGGGGCACTTCTCAAACACCTCGGATTAAGTAGAGGAATGCATTAACCGTACGTCACATTAACATTCTTTCATCATATGAAATACTAAATTGTCACCGCCTTTTACTGGAACACGTCAATCTGATGTCAAACAAGGATACAGGTGATAGCCATACTCTAAGTTAATGCACGATGACAACGTTCAGGTTACTAAGCATTTGTTTTGACAGTATTAGTTTAGTGGGACCTGACCGACATTCTTATATATTTATTTTACATCAACCAGTAATTATACCTTCCATTTATCAATACCTTGTCAGGATAAGCCTCAGACACAGAAACATTATACTCCAGTATTCAGGCAGTCATTAGCAGTGTTTACTCTCAGGATAGATTCAAACAGTGTTTTGAATGTGTTTTTTCATTGATTGCTTCACGGCTTCACGAGTTATTGACTGCATGTCGTTCTTTTTGACGAGAATCTTTGTATTTTCTGTTGCTCATCTGCCAGAATGTTTTTTCCTATATTTTTTTTCTGTAGCATCTGACAAAGAAAGTTTATTATCAAGTATGAAAAAAACACCTTTTGGGAAAAGTGTGCAAAAATGTAATGACATAAATGTTTATGTCATTAAATTTTAAAACGACATAAATGTTTGAGGCGTTTAATGGATGGCTGTAAACATGGACAACGTACACCAAAAACCCAAATTCACATGACACTGCACCACCTCACATAACCTCAAATTGTAAATAAACACATTAAAAGCACTGCCCTAAAAATCAAATCGTATATAATAGGCGGCGTTTTGGACAATGGCCCTTCTTCAAAGCATCGAAATGCCATTCACGAATGTTGTTGAGGCTTTGTTATTTGTGATATCACACAGTACGCTGCACCTATTTTAAGTCTGCAAAAGTATCACGTGTAGTTGATGTACTATAGTGTATTCGCCATTCCTACCTTTAGGTGTTGGAAATACCACTATGATTAAACATTAATGGTTTCATAACATATTTAAAGTAATTCTAGATTTGAAGCTTTCGTGACTGCAAGGATCCATACTCTTTGGTTCTATTCGGTAAAGTCACGTAGGTAAAAAAATAACAAAAATCACGACGTTTCGGCCACAACACAAGCGGCCTTCATCAGGTGAAGGGACCAGACTGTCTCACCTGATGAAGGCCGCTTGTGTTGTTAACCTACGTGACTTTGCCAAATAGAACCAAAGAGTATATTTAAGGTAAGGTTAATGTTCGTAAACAATTGATTACTGAGGTTACGAAACGCCCTCTCTGTGTTAAAGTTTGACACGGGTTCCACCTACTGGTAAAATAAAATAGGTACAGTATTTTCTTGTGTTTTTTGGATCTACGCATTAAAATGCGCATTAAAATGCGTAGATCCAAATCTATTGATGCGGTTTTTGAACAGTGAAATTCCTCTTTTCCGTGGTAATGTTTGGGGCACAATTAGTATCTGGCGATTATTGACACACAGGAATTACTCTCGTTATCAGCCTCGCTTACCATGCATGAATGCGGATATATTGAAAACGAATTTCTTTTGAACTTTTGAGTTTGTTGACCTTCCCCTACACCGCCGATTAGCACGGTTGGCCACGTACGGTGCGAAAAAAGTTTTGCATGCATACTTAATAGGATGAATTTGACTTCCAGTGGGAGACCATTTGTAAATATTTTTTGTATCATATGTTAACATATATTATTTAGGCCTCGGTTTGTCGAGAGCTTGGGTGACTGCATTCATTTACGCCGAGTCAAATGCCTTTTTGCACATTCTCCAGCGACGAGGCATACGTGGGATTTGGTCGGGTACTCCTTTGCCTTTTTCTTTTCAGAATCTGTTTGATAGTTGGTGCGTGCGTGGTCAATGATGGCAATGGTATGGTATTCGTCTCCATTGGTGTCCGCTGAACTAGTGGTGGGAATATCCGCATTACAATGACAGGAAGCAGTCTGTTATAAGATGCTCAACTGTTGTCTACCCACAAAGTGAAAACTAATTAAAATCGACCCTGAAGGTGATGATTGTCTGAGTCAATCCTTGACCAGGACTCCAACAGGCAGCTCTTCCGATAGCGCGATAGGAAATCCAAAACAACAACTAGGCTGAATATGCTCAATAGCGATATGTCAAGTATAGGCGTGTAACCAAAGTTTCAAAATTCTAGACTGGTAATAAAATCGCAGTGCGGTATATGCAACGGTAGATTTATATACACTATAAAGCAATAATTATTTGGAAATATTGATTGAAGTAATGTATTGCATTGCAGGATTGCGAAGTATGGTCGTGGATTGAGGAGGCCTTCATCCAGCAGTGGATTACCCACGGCTGAAGGTAATTGAAATATAAAATGAAAGGTTTAACACAAAATATAAAAAAACTCTAGATGGCGCTCCATGTGCATTACATTAATACAGTTGTACAGCTGAATGTTTATTCTCTTGCAATATTTTACCACTTTTAAAAAGGGACACATTAGACTTCACTCACCTCCACCCCAGGCTCCCTATTCTACCGTTTAACTGTTTGTGATCAATCTTGGCACTTTAATAATCCGTCACGGATCGAAAGAAGCTCAAT